CGCGCGAGCGGCGGGTGCTAGTCGTCGCCATCAGCGACGACAAAAACAAGGCTGCGATAATCGAGCCGCTCGCGCGACGCTTTGGCCATTTGATCGCGACGCGGTTCACCGAGAACCCGCGCGCGGCCCAACCGGAAAAGGTCGCCGAGACGGCTCGGCGGCTTGTAGTTGAGGGAACGACGATCGAACTCGCCGACACGCCACAACTGGCGTGGGACGCCGCTCAGCGGCAAGCCGCCGACGTCGTCGTGTTCGCCGGGTCACTACTCTTTGCCGCCGAAGCCCGACGGCTGGTGCTCGCCGAGCGGGGCGCCCCGCTCAGCGGTCCGGCGTGACGCGTGGCGTCTGGGTCAGAGAACGCCACGAGTCGATTCTTTCACGAGACGCTGATCGCGCTGCACTCCCACGACTCGCGTCCTGGGCTCTCGATCAAGATTGAGGGGTCGCTGTCAAAAGCGGCGCGTGATTAGGTCGAGCGCCAGTTCGTCGTCGAGGGTTGAGTCGTCGTCGAACGTTGCCGACGGGGCGGGCGGCGCCATGCGGCGCTGGGCCTCCTCTTCGCGGACCTCCTGCTGGAGTTGCTCGACGAGCGAACGGATGTGCGGGTCGGCCCACGGCAACAAGTCGCTGGGGCGGAAACGGGGCTGCGTGCGTTGGGGCATGACGAGAGTTTCGGCGTCTGCTAGCACAACAACGCAGCGAATCTTGCGGGCGGCAACCATCATGGACTTCCTTGCTATTCCGAATGAATGAGATGTTCAGATAAGGGACCGACGGGCGGCTCCGGCTCAAGCCCTGCTGGGGGCGGCGTTGAGCGGCGGCGAGCTTGCCGACGCGGCCTTGGCTAGCGGAGGCTCGTCCCACGAGCGTCGCCAACGCCAGACCCTAAAAGCACGACGCGTGCCAAACTCCTACCTACGAGGCGCTGCCCAAGAAACCCGCTGAAAACGCGGTGTTCGCAATGCCTGCAGGCGTTCACAAGGGAGCCGCCCGCTTGGTAATTCCTGCAAACGTGGTGCACGCCGCTGCAACTGGAACCACTACGGCCGCTCGCCCAACATCGCGTCGAGCCGTTCGACGGCCTTCGCTAGCGTCGGGTCTTTTACTAGGGGATCGCTTTCAGCGCTGCCGTCGCTAGCGGTTGTAGCACCTACGAGGTCGCGGTTGCGGCGCCATTCGTACCAGGCGATCCGCTCTTTGTCCGTCATCGGGACTTCCGCCCCTTCATCCGGTGAGACGCCCCAGGGCACGCTCTCCGGCGTGCCCGGGAGACGGTGGATGTTGACGCCGCTGGGGCGCCAGAAGCTCGCCGTGGTGAGCTTGAGCATGCTGTGCCCGGGCTCCAGCTCGAGCATCTGTTGCACGGTTCCTTTGCCGTAGGAACGCTGGCCAACAACGACCGCCCGCCCGTGGTCCTGCAAGGCCGCGGCGACAATCTCGCTGGCGCTCGCCGTGTCGCCATCCACCAGGACCGCCAGCGGCAGGTCGAGGTAAGGCCCGTCGGCGCTCGTCGCGAACTCGCTCTGCACCTCGCCGTCACGGCCGCGGATCGTGACGACCCGCGACTCCTTCGGGAGAAATAGCTCGCAAACCCGCACCGCCGTATCGAGGGGGCCACCGGGATTGCCGCGGAAGTCGAGCACCACCGCCTCGGCGCCGTCGTCGACAACTTGCTTCAAGGCGGCGGCCAGTTCGTCGGACGTGCGGTTGCCGAAGCTTGTGACCCGCAACAGCGCGACGCGGGGCTCGCTCTCGAGCTCGTAACGCCAGCCGCCGTCAGCGGTTGGGCGATCACCGATCACCGAGGGGACGCGGATCTCGGCCCGCACAAGTTGGAAGGTCTCCTCGGCGCCGCCCTCGTGCCGGACCGTCAATGACACCGGCGCGCCGACTTTGCCGCGCATCATGCCGACGACGTCTTGCAAGCCCAGGCCCTCGGTCGGTTTGCCATCGACGGTCAGGATTTGGTCCTTCACCCGGATCGGTGACGCGTAAGCCGGCGTGCCGGGCTGCGGCGGTTCGACGACGACAATCCGCGGCGGCGTCCCCTCAAAGCTCACCCGTACGCCAACACCGCCAAACTCCTGGCGGATGTCGGCCATGAAGGGCTCGGCCTTCCGCGGGTCGAGAAAGTCGGAGTGGACATCGCCTCTCTGCCGCAGCACGCCAACGATCCCCTGCATGGCGCCGGCGAAGAGCTCGCGGTCCGTCGGCTGCTCAAGCGCATAGTCGTCCACCAGCTCGTAGGCGTGGCCGACATACCGAGCGTAGGGGTTCCGCTCCGAACGCGTATAGCACAACAGGCCGATCGCGAGCGCTACGAAGAGCACCGTCAGGTTTCGTCGCGACATCCGGGGCGGCCGAGCGGGCGGTGAAGACTGGTCCGAGGGCAGTATCGCCCGCCGTCAGTCACTTTGCCACCGGCCCAGAGCCCTCAATCGAGAGGCAGCAGGCCTGCAGCCGAGGGGAGCCGAACCTCTCCTCAGTTCGCAGAGTCGCCTGCCTGCGACCGGCGGAACTTCTGCAGCTTCGACCGCAGGGCCGCATTCGCGGGCGTTAGCGGCTCGCTGGCAGTCTTCGGCGCTGTCCTCTGCGGGGCAGGCGTTTCCGCGAGCGCCTGTGGCGGCGTTTCGGGGACGTAAACGGGCTTAACCGGCTTCGGTGTCGGCGTGATGGACGAGCCCTCATCGTGAGGAAATACCCCCGGTGTCGCCGGCGCTTTCGGGGCGAAGAACCACCCCAGCGGCCCGCAGAGCAGCGCCGGCAGCATGATCAGATCGCCCACCAGGGCAATCGCCAGGATCGTGATCATCAGCGAACCGAACTGCTGCGTCGGCGTGAACGTGCTGACGGCGAACACCGCCAAGCCCATGCCGCCGATGAGCGTTGTCTGCAGCATCGCCGTGGCGCAGCGGTCGAACGCCTGCTCCACGGCGGTCCGACGGTCGAGGCCCTCGCGGACGCCGCGGCCGAACCAAGTCAGGAAGTGGAGCGTGTCGTCCACCGCCACGCCCAACGCGACGCTGGCGGCCATCATGATGCCGATGTCGACCTTGATCCCCAGCCAACCGAGCGCGCCGAACACCACCACAATCGGGAAGACATTCGGCAGCATCGAGGCGATGCCCGCGGCGACTCCACGCAACACGAACATCATCACGATGGCGATAAGCACCGTCGCCGACAGAATGCTGTCCTTGAGGCTGGTGAGCAGTTCGCGTTGCGTCTTGTAAACCAGCGGCACGACACCCGTGTAAACGGCGGTCGCCTCGGCAGCGGGGATAGCCTCTGCGACCGCGGCCTCGGCGTCGAGCGTCGTCACCGCGACGCCTTCGAGTTCCTTCGCCAACGCCGGGTCCAGCGACACCACGGCGTCGAAACGCTGTGCCAACTGTTCACGGAGCTGCGCTTGCTTCGCCTCGTCGATGGCCTTGTACGACTCCAGTGGATAGACCGTGAAGGAACCGATCGCCGACTTCTGCAACAGCTCGGCAAGCCGCGATTCGGGCGTGCCGGGCTTCGGCAACCGGGGATTTTCGGGGTCGTTCGCTGCCGTCAACAGACAGACGCGAGCGGTATCGAGGGGCTTGCCCCCCTCGCTCTCGGCATCGCCTTCGTTCANNCTCGTCACGCTGCTGATAGGCGTCGAGGACCGGCTCGACCTTCTCACGGAGGTTCTGGACGAACCGTCCGTAGTCCACGTCGCCGAGGGCCGTGACGCGCGCGCTGATCCGCCACAGCTCGCGGCCAGTTGTCTTGCCATCGATCGTTTCGGCGAGGAGGTACTCGTTCAGATCGCCGCGTGATTCCTCCAGCGCTTGACTGGTGGTGAACTCGATCGCCCGCCGCGTGGAGGCCGAGCCCCCGTCGTCGCGGGCCTGGGCGCCGAAGGTCGCCGCCGACAGTGCGCGGCTCACCTCGTCGAGCGACTCAACCTGGGCCTGGAGCTTGCGAGCGAGTTCGGCGCGCTCGAACATCGTCATCCGATACCGCGCGTCCTTTCCGTCGGCCTCGAGGTCGACTGCCTTCTCGTCGGGCGAACGAAGCTGGTTGTCGTCCAGGGCGACGATCACCTCCATCGGCACCAAGTTGCCGAGGTTCTCCTCCAGCCAAGCGTAGTCGTGGATCAGCCGGCAGTCCTCATCCAGCAGATTGAGCAGCTGCACCGATGTGCGGATCTTGGGCAGTCCCAACGCCAGCAGCCCCATTGCGGCTAGGCACAAGATGGAAGTCAGCGCGTATCGGCGGGTGACGAATCGAGCGAGCGGGGTGTGCCACGCCGGGCCGCGGTCCTTGTGGCCGGTGCGGTCTTCGACGACGCGGCGACTCGGCGGGAAACGATGCAAGAACACCGGCATGATCCCGTACAACAGCGCCACGGCGACCACCACGCCGATCGCCGTGAAGATGCCGAATTTCTGGATTGGGAGGATATCGCTGGCGGCGAGCGAGCCAAGACCGATGGCGGTGGTGAACGCCGCCAACAAACAGGGGCCCCAAGAGATGCGGACCGCGCGTTCCACCGCGCCGTACTGTCCGTGCTCGATCCGTTCGTCCTTGTAGTAGTTGACGAAGTGGATCGCGCCCGACAGAGCGAGCACGTACACAACCGCGGGCATCGACATCAGGATGGCGTCGGCCGTTCCGAGCCGCGGCTGGCTCAGGCCCATCACGAACATCTCGACGCCGCCGAACCAGTACACGAGCGAGAGCCCCATGCCCGCGCTGGCGCCGGCGGTCCAGAAGACCATCGCCGTGAGCTTCTTGCTGCGGAAGCAGAGATAGGCCAGCGAGATGCCTACCAGGCCCGCCAAGCCGGCGAGGCGGAATAGGGTGCGTTCGCCCTCGATGTCGATCGTGATGTTATCGACGGGCGGGCCGCCCATGTGGATGTTGTCGAGCGGGACGCCACATTCTTTGTGGGCGATGTCCCGCACACGCTCCACGGCGCGCCGCATCTGCAGGTTGCTGCTGGTGAGCTGATCGTCCAGATACGCGAGCAGGCAAGTGACGCGTGACTCGTCACCGAGCGATTCGCCATCGGCGCCCACCTTTGGTGGGCCGACCAACGCGCCTTCGAGCCGTTCGATGGCGCNNTGCGGCTCAGCGAAGCGGGCCCCGTGATCAGTTGCTCGATCGTCTCCGGCCCCGTCATCACGCGCGGGTACCAGCGCCAGCCCCCCTTCTTGTCGGTCTCGGCACGAAGCTTTTCCGCCAACAGGCGGAGCTTCTCGGGATTGCCGAGCGTACATCCATCCCAGCTGATGAGGACGAAAGACTCGTGGACGAAGTGGTCACGGAACCACGTCAGGTCGGCCGACTCGGCGTACGCGGCCGGCAGCCAGTCCTCGGCCTTGTTGGTGTTGCTCTCGAGAGCCTTGCGGGCGCCGCGCGGGATGAAGACCAGCGCGAAGGTGACCGCCAGGGCGATCCACAGGTAGTGCGGCAAGCCCCAAGTGCGCCGCGAGAGGAAAGTTTCGCGGTCGGCGTTCTCGTTGGCAGCGTCCCCAGCAGGCGGCCCGCTCGTAGGATCGATGGGCTTGGACATGCTGACGGAGCCGAAAGAGCGTTGAATCGGGGCGAAAGACAGTGCGGCGGCTGCTCCGCAGCCCGGTCCAACTTAAGCCGCCCGACCGCCAGCGCCTACGCCAAGCGGACAGGGCGGGCCCCCCAAAGTTGGCCCGGGATCACGGAGCAGCCGCCGCCACCACATTGAGAATCGCCTACCAGTAAAACTCCGTTCCCGCCGTCACGCCGCTGTAGAACGTATCGCCGGTGATATGCAGCTGGTTCGTGGCCGGGTTGAAGTCGATCTGGTTCGGGGCCAGCGCCAGGCCGGTCGCGTACATGAATTCCCAGCCGACCCGCAGCGAAAGGTTGGGCCGCAGGTGATACCGAGCCGTGACGCCGCCCTGCGTCAGGTAAGAGAGGCCGTTTTCGTGCAGGTCGCGGCCGAAGCTGTTCAGGGCGATGGACGCGTCGTCGGGGTCGCTGAAGGTGACGTTCGTGGTCGCCCGGGCGTCGTTCACCATGAAGCCATGCTTGGAGAAGATCGAGACGTTCCAGCGATCGGTCTCGTAAGTCAAGCCGCCGCCGAGTTGGAACCCGAATAGGTTGTTGCTCGTCTGGATGTTCATAGCGCCCGTCGTGTCGGTGATCTGCATGGGATCGTTGTTCTCGTAGAACGACGTGTTGCCGACACGGGTGAACGTGACCTCAGGCGCCTCGAGGACGATGCCCTGGGCGTTCCAGTCGAAACGCTCGCCCACATCGAAGTACCGCAGGCCTGCGAGGTAATCCCATGTAAAGCCGGGCTGCGCGCGGCGGACCCACTGTCCGGCGGGGTTCATCTCCATGCGATCGCGACGCATCCGCTGGGCGAGGCTGTAGTTCCACTCCCAGCTTTGGAAGTCGCTGGAGTACTCCGTCTGCATCGCCCGAGCGCGGTCGAAGGAGGCGAACGAAGGGATGAAATCGACACGGGTGGGCCCCGATCCGTCGAGCGATGCGGGGATGTGCAAGCCACGCTGGTCACGGACTTGAACCGTGGGGGGAAGGGTGGCCTGCAGAGAGTTGCCGAAGATATCGTTCTGAATCTCGTACATGCCTTGCCCCCCTTCCGTCAGCTGCGCCTCCGAGCTGGTGAGCTCGTTCCATTCGGGACCGCCGAACACGACCATCTCAACGTTGTGGTCGCGGTTTGCGGTGTCGCGGAACAAGAACCGGCCCAGCGCCAGACGCCCCGCCCCGTCGTATCCAGGGCTGCTCTCGCTTAGCGAGTGCTCTTGGACCGGCACGGTCGAACGGAAGAGGAAGGCGTTGATCGAACCGACCGACTGATCAAACGCGTTGTCGAATTCTTGCACCAGGATAAAGCCGTTGCTGTCCCAGGTGCGTTGCATCACGACGGCGTCGACGTCGGCGTACCACAGGCCTCGGCGCAGCCAGCTGCCGCTGCTCTCGGTAGCGGCCGGCAATTGACCCATAAGCGCAAGGCCGTCGTACGGCGACTCGGCGATCGGCTGGAGGCCCTGCATCTCAGCGACGACGGTTTCCGGCGACGGCATCGCCTCGGCCGAGCCGATTCCGGCCGCGTCGACGCTGGCTTCCGCCGGATCGTACGTCGGCACGTCGGCCAGGGCAGGCAACGCCTGCGCCGAAGCCGCCGCGGCGAAGCCGCTCACGGCCGCTGCCACCAACATCCTGAGTACGGGATGAGCCACGGATGAGTCTCCTCAGTTCTTAGTCGGCGTAGGTATCGCCGACGCCTCGGTCCGCCTCGCGGCGTGGTTTGCCGCCCAAGGGCTCTCCGGCGCAGCCTAGCGCCGGCCCTTATCGGCCTCCTGCCCGCGGGGCGCCCCCCTACGGGTGACGACACTTCAGTCGCCTGTGACCAGTTAATCGACCCCGCACAACCAGCAATGCAGAAATTGCCGGCAAAATCCGCAGAAGACTTGCAATCGACAACACCCACCCAATCCGCGCAATCCGCCAGAGGCAAACCGGCTTCGCTCCAACCCCGGGGAGGAGGTCGGACGGTTGGTGCTAGCCGTTACGCCGCTAGAATGGTGTCCTGGCCCTTCTCGAGAGGCCCTTACGAATCAACACCAGCCCAGCCCCCGACGTTAGTCATGGCGGTCGATCCCTACGCCCCGTGCCCCTGCGGTAGCGGCAAGAAACTCAAGTTCTGCTGCTCCGACCTGCTGGGCGAGATCGAGAAAGTGCAGCGCATGCTCGAAGGGGACCAGCCACGGGCGGCGCTGGCGCACCTTGAGAAGACGCTCGCCAAGACGCCCGGCCGGGCGTCGCTTCTGGACCTCAAGGCGTCGATCGAGCTGTCACTCGGCGACCTGGAGCGAGCCCAGCAGACGGTCCAGCAGCACCTCGCCGCCGACCCCACCAACCCCAGCGCCCACGCCCAAGCGGCGATTCTTGCCGCTAGCTTTGAGCCCGGACCGGAAGAGCTAGCCGGCGGCGCTGCGCCGTCGAGCCGCCAGGCCGTCATGCACCTG